GCAGGGAAATGGCTTGACCTGCTGTGCCTGTGTGTTTCTTGAGACACACAGCTTACTAACACACACAAGTGTGGCTCCATGGGACCCTGCAAGGTAAAGGAACCACCATAAAACAGGAAAACAGGACCAAAGCTCAGGGACCAGCTGATTCTGCAGGAAACTAAAACTTTTAAACATCAAGTAGCAGCATTCATTGCGAGTGATTTAATCAGCATTTCAAATCGCTTAAAAACATTTTGACTTTAATATAACTTTAACTTCAGCTTTAATTCTAGAAGTTATACAGGCAGCCTTATTGTAAATTTAGAAAATAACCAACTCTACCTTCTTAGTAAATGTCTTAAAGTGACTAAAGTTTATACCCGTTAGCAGTTTTTTAAATTGACAAATTAACTTAAAAAAAGTAAAAGCTGATATTTGGGGTTATGTAGACAAACAAGAATGCAATGGAATGTAATATATCCTGAAATATAGCAAAACACAAAAAATCTCATACTATAGAAAGGGAATGACAGTTTGCGTTTTCTGTCAGTGGGAGTCTTGTTACACTTTTCTTCTGCATGATACCCGATTTCCCCGTACCCTCTTATTTTAAAGTACTGCATCCCTATTCACTCTGCAGCTTCCTATTCCTCTTTCTGCACGCCTCTGCTTTGTGGCTATTCTTCTTTAGGTAATTTTTCACCACTGTACATAGTGAACTTACTACAGTATCTCTTCTCCTCTACTGTCCTCCTCAATATACTCATTCGCCTGCTCTGTTCCCCCACCCTCTTCCTCAATGTACTTAGTCTTCTGCTCTTCTCTTCTACTGTCCTCTTCAACGTACTTGCTCTCCTACTCTTCTCCTCTACTGTCCTCTTCAACATACTTGCTCTCCTGCTCTGCTCCTCCACTGTCTTCCTCAATGTACTCACTCACTCAGCTTTGCTTCTCCACTGTCCTTCTCGATGTACTCACTCCTGTTCTGCTCCTCTACTGTCTTCCTCAATCTACTCCCTCACTCTGCTTTGTTTCTCCACTGTCCTTCTCGATGTACTCGCTCTCGTGTTCTGCTCCTCTACTGTCTTCCTCAATCTACTCCCTCACTCTGCTTTGTTTCTCCACTGTCCTTCTCGATGTACTCGCTCTCGTGTTCTGCTCCTCTACTGTCTTCCTCAATCTACTCCCTCACTCTGCTTTGTTTCTCCACTGTCCTTCTCGATGTACTCGCTCTCGTGTTCTGCTCCTCTACTGTCTTCCTCAATCTACTCCCTCACTCTGCTTTGTTTCTCCACTGTCCTTCTCGATGTACTCGCTCTCGTGTTCTGCTCCTCTACTGTCTTCCTCAATCTACTCCCTCACTCTGCTTTGTTTCTCCACTGTCCTTCTCGATGTACTCGCTCTCGTGTTCTGCTCCTCTACTGTCTTCCTCAATCTACTCCCTCACTCTGCTTTGTTTCTCCACTGTCCTTCTCGATGTACTCGCTCTCGTGTTCTGCTCCTCTACTGTCTTCCTCAATCTACTCCCTCACTCTGCTTTGTTTCTCCACTGTCCTTCTCGATGTACTCGCTCTCGTGTTCTGCTCCTCTACTGTCTTCCTCAATCTACTCCCTCACTCTGCTTTGTTTCTCCACTGTCCTTCTCGATGTACTCGCTCTCGTGTTCTGCTCCTCTACTGTCTTCCTCAATCTACTCCCTCACTCTGCTTTGTTTCTCCACTGTCCTTCTCGATGTACTCGCTCTCGTGTTCTGCTCCTCTACTGTCTTCCTCAATCTACTCCCTCACTCTGCTTTGTTTCTCCACTGTCCTTCTCGATGTACTCGCTCTCGTGTTCTGCTCCTCTACTGTCTTCCTCAATCTACTCCCTCACTCTGCTTTGTTTCTCCACTGTCCTTCTCGATGTACTCGCTCTCGTGTTCTGCTCCTCTACTGTCTTCCTCAATCTACTCCCTCACTCTGCTTTGTTTCTCCACTGTCCTTCTCGATGTACTCGCTCTCGTGTTCTGCTCCTCTACTGTCTTCCTCAATCTACTCCCTCACTCTGCTTTGTTTCTCCACTGTCCTTCTCGATGTACTCGCTCTCGTGTTCTGCTCCTCTACTGTCTTCCTCAATCTACTCCCTCACTCTGCTTTGTTTCTCCACTGTCCTTCTCGATGTACTCGCTCTCGTGTTCTGCTCCTCTACTGTCTTCCTCAATCTACTCCCTCACTCTGCTTTGTTTCTCCACTGTCCTTCTCGATGTACTCGCTCTCGTGTTCTGCTCCTCTACTGTCTTCCTCAATCTACTCCCTCACTCTGCTTTGTTTCTCCACTGTCCTTCTCGATGTACTCGCTCTCGTGTTCTGCTCCTCTACTGTCTTCCTCAATCTACTCCCTCACTCTGCTTTGTTTCTCCACTGTCCTTCTCGATGTACTCGCTCTCGTGTTCTGCTCCTCTACTGTCTTCCTCAATCTACTCCCTCACTCTGCTTTGTTTCTCCACTGTCCTTCTCGATGTACTCGCTCTCGTGTTCTGCTCCTCTACTGTCTTCCTCAATCTACTCCCTCACTCTGCTTTGTTTCTCCACTGTCCTTCTCGATGTACTCACTCCTGTTCTGTTCCTGTTTTTCCTCACAGTTCTTTTTAGCGTCACTGGAGGACATATGCCAACCTCCTCCCGTGACCCAAAGCTCAGTATATCATGGGCTATTGCTCGCGATATACTGGAGAACGCCGCAGCCAGGACAGATCCCAACAATACTGTTGAGATCCATCCAGCTGCGTGAGTGACAACTGGCTCTGCCTATATAGAGGCAGCTGTGACCGCCTCCTCCCCCGTATGTTCCTCCACTCAGCGCTAGAGGATCGGAGAGGGGAGAATCCCTGTGGAGAGCTGCGACTGACAATCACTGCAGGGAGACGATTGGGAAGGGAGCGGATCGGCTGCATGTTTCTGCTCACTTCCTGATCAATAGAGCCGATCCAGACAGAAAGGTCATTCAGTCTGTGCCCATACCGCATTCCGCCATTTAGGCTAAATTCAAACCAGCAGCTGCACTACAACGCACAGATGCTGGTGTGTTTCCAGGCACAATGCTGATGCACCGATACTGGCACATAGCACTGTTTTGTTTTTGTTAGAACTTTATTGAAATGCCACGAGTGACATTTCATTATGTTCTATAGGCATTTCTATGGGAAATGCGGTTGCGGCCTGCATGTAGTACTTTTTTTTTAAGCACACGACCACAACATGGTTATGTGAACTGAGCCCATTCATAAAGAAGCAATTGCCTTGTCTAAGGGTGGGGCTGCTCTGGAAAAAGTGACCAGAACAGCTCTAACACATCTGGTGTTAATGCAACAAATGTAAGGGGGAACTCCAATAGGGGCAACTAATAATTAGTTGTCCCCATCAGAGTGCCCCCTTACTTTCATAATTAATGTAAGGGGGACACTGATGGGTACAGCCAGTGTAAGGGGGCACTCTGATGGAAACAACCAATGTAAGAGAGCACCCTGATGTGGACAACTAATAATTACAATACATTGGTTGTCCTGCTTAGTGTGCCACTTTATACTGTCTTCTTTATATTGTCCCAACAAACCTGCTTTAATTGGTAGGCCAGGGGAAGGAGACAGAGCAAGCTGCAGTAGAGGATGGAAGAACATATGCTTCCATCTTCCTGTAATTCGAGATGGGGGAAACTTCAGTGTCACTGTTTGCTAGGACTGCTGGTAGTAATAGCAACCAATGACTGCAGGGGAGGTGGACACCTGATGTAATTGGTTGCTAGGACGCCAGTGGTACTAGCAGCCAATGACTGAAGAGGAGGGGGGGCCCGCACTGGGCTATGAGTAGCAGAGGATGCACCGGCCTCGGCGGTCAGCCATATAGGGACGGCTGCTCTACGGGATGCAGAGAAACAAAAAAATCTATGTGATACATCTGGTAATATAATGGTCATTTAAATAATGTAACAGAATTCAAGAACACAGAAAGTTAACAAAAAACACTCATAGAAAAAGCTAAATCTAAAACAAACAAAAAAACAACAAAATCAATGTATATGTTGCAAGTAGTGTGTCTATTCCCAAAATCAAAAATCACAAATTTGCTAGAAAAAAATCTAATTAAACACATTAGTCTATCTTACCTGGTGTGTGTTGCTGTAAATATACAGGCAGGCTAGCCTGTACAGACTCTTGTAGTGCTGGGGAAAGCGGCCGAGACAAAGCTTGAAGGAACTGATGCATTGCTCAATTAAGACTTTACGTCGCCCCTCTGAATCTTCAGGTAGGCTCTGAGGATATTCCAATACCTCCACAGTAGCTTCAGGCTTTTTCCTAGGGTCACCCAATGGTGCAGGAGCAAACAGAACCCTTGCAGGAGTAGTGCAGGTGGGGGATGTCTGTACTTCTGAACCTACTCTCTGTTCTGCTGAGCTGGTGTTGTCTGCCTGTTCCATCTGTTCCTCCGTTTTCCCTGCCAATGCGGAGCGTAGGAGAAAAAAAAATGTCAATCATCCCTATACCCAAGATGTTAAGGGAAGACATGAATGTTGCTAACCAAGCGGGACATGACTACAATGCACCCTATAAATGATTTAGCATGTTCATGCTACTTCTGAATGTATTATACAACCAGTCTGCAGATTCTATTACTCTAAAATGCTTGTGTCCACAGGGGAATTTATTGATTCCAACGTATTCCTTTCATTAGGGACACACATAAATTACACATGTACAGTGACAATAATGCACTGACAGACTTGCATAAACTGGAAAAACTGTATAGAAAAGGCACAATCCTTTATGGATACATGCATGAAGCGCTAGAACTTTCACAGCACAGCAATCAAATGGCATTTTTTATTCACTGAGCAGTGTAGTATCAGATCTGCACCTCATAGTTTAAACTCTAGGAAAGGTATGATCCTTCAGTCAAAGTTATTGGCAGGAATTAGGAAATTTGAATGTATGTAAAGTCATAATGCCCATTGTATTTGTAATACAGGCACTGCAGGCTTTTTCTGCAAATAGAACCAATATTTGCAAAAGGTAAAGTCATTCCCTAAAATGGGATTTCACTAAATGGGTAACATGTAAATACACTTAGCCTCATATCAATCACAGAGAGTGATTTCTAAGTGTGATTTCCAGAGAACAAAAAGCCATAAAATGCCACAGAGATTTAAAGTGTATTTCCACTTTTGCAGCCAAATTGGGATATCTACTTTATGTTTGTTACATCCTATTCACATAGCATAACTTTAAAAAAATAAAAATCGATGCTTACATTTTTAAGTGCTTTTCACTTGCTTAAAAAAGCAACCTAGCTTATCCTTATGTAATGTTAAAGAAGGTCCAATGCCCTGCGGCAGTGAACGCCTACCTCCGGCTGTGGTATGTCCCTTGGCGTCCTCATGTCTAATGGACCAGTGTTAATTTTGACAGCAAATTTCAATTTAGTTTTAGTCATAGTCTTTTGACTAAAATGCCATTTAATTTTAGTCATATTTTAATCATCTGAATTGTTTTAGTTTTAGTCGACTAAAATCTAGTGGGTTGAGTTAAAGAGTAATTTAAAGTGACATTAAAGTCAAAAACTTTTTCCCCTTCCCCCAACATTAAAGGAGAACTATGAGGTGAGTGATTTCCACTCACCTCATAGTTCTAGCCGACCTGTGACAATGAGACTGTCACAGGTCGGCTCAGTAGATTGGGAGGTGAGCGAACACATACAGGCGTTCGCTCACTTCTCGATCCTGTCACGGCTCTCTGCCCTCCCCGCTCCGATCCTCCAGCGCTGACTGGCGGAACGGACGGGGAGGGGGCGGGTACAGCTGGCTCTGCCTCTAGATAGGCAGACCCAGCTATCACTCACGCAGCTGGGCGGATCCAGACATAATTGTCGGGATCCGCTTCAGCGTCTCAGTATACCGCGAGCTGTAGCTCTGGGTATACTGAGCATGGGAGGACGCTAGTTTGTGTCCTCCCGTTACCCTAAGGAGAACTATGGGGAAAAGCCCTAACCCCCATAGTTATCCTTTAATTAAAGCACTTACCTTAAATGATGTCTCTTAATCCAATCTTCTTCTTTCCTGTCGTTTTCAGCCTTCCCTCCAGAGCTGGTGCGGGTCTCTGATCCAGCGCTGACTTTTTGCATGTATCTACTGCTTGCTAGCAGTAGATACATGCAAAAAAACATAAGGGTTTAGTAACCCTTTAAGAATTTCTCTAGAATTTCAAATCTCATTAAATACACCTGAAGTAAACATCTGTTAATCTGTTATTACTTATGGTATTTAGTACATTTGAACATGCAAAACAGACACAGATTTAACTGTTGTGATATAAAACATGTCTTTATCTTAAAATTAGATTAAACCAAGTCTTATAAAAGAAACAATAATATTGAGTAGGGATGCACCGATATATCGGCCGCCGAAACATATTGGCCGAAAATGGCACTTTTGGCATAATGCCGAAAGAGCCATGTTTCGGCCGATACATCGACGCATCCCTGGTTTCTTTTCTCCCCGCTGGGCGCTGCTCCAGCGGGGAGAAAAGAAAGTGACAGCCGGCCAAGCGCTGCAGGACGAGAGCGCTGTGAGGCGTCTCTCCTCCCACACCGTCCGTCCGGTAGAGCGGTGTGTGGCAGAGACAGCGCTGTCACAGGAGGCTGAGCTCTCCTCCCACAGCGCTCAGCCGCCTATCACAGTCCTGGAGAGCGGTGTGTGGGCGGAGGCTGAGCTCACCTCCCTGCTCCGCTCGATCAGCCTCCTGTGACAGCGTGTCAGAGAGGAGAGCGAGCACAAACACTCATTGATCAGTGATCGCTGAGTGTTTGTAGATAATTGAGGACATGGTATGTTAACTATATCCTCAATTATGAATGAATGGGAGTGATCTACATCACCTCCTGTTCATTCATAATTGGCGTTACAGTAAATATACCATGTTCTCAATGAACAGGAACACTCATTCCTGTTCATTGATAACAGGGGATACAGAAAAAGAGATAGAGGACTTTGTGTCATAAATCTCTTTTTCTATTTTAAAAGGGAAACATCAGGGGTCTGTTTAGACCCCCAATATTTCCCCGAAGCCCCTAAAAGCAATGTAAAAAATAAAAATATTTAATACAAAATGAATATAAAATGAATATAAAAAAATTAAAAAAAGTTTATAAAAAAATAAAAATTAAATATTAAAAAGATTTTAAAAAATTAAAATAAAAAAACATTTTCGGTATCGGTTTCGGCCTGACAATTATTTTTATTTCGGTTTTAAAATTACCATTTCGGTGCACCTCTAATATTGAGTATTTTCAACAAAGAACCAGTAATTAGATATGCATTGATAACACCTTGCATATGACATTCTTCATTCTTTCAAGTGCAACTCAAAAATATTAAAATCAAAACCAATATTGGCTGTAATGCCTTTGCACCTATTACCCGTCCATTCTGAATGGGGCTGGAATTGGAAGTCCAAAGAGATTAGTTCTGATTGGATCTCTTCCCAAATCGTCTCTCCCTAACATTTTAGTCTAGTTTTAGTTAGTCGACTAAAATGTCAATATATTTTCATTATAGTTTTTAGTTAGTTTTAGTCACGGAAAAAGTGTTGTTGACAAAAACTATGACGGAAATTATTAGTCGACAAAAATAACACTGTAATGGACCTCCATTAGACGTGATGTCACACACTGTAGACTACTGGAGCCCAATGGAGAAGAGACTGTGGGGACTGGTCTAGCAGCCAGGTAAGTTTGAGGATCAGGGGAGTATATCTTCTTTACTTTCATCCCTAGACCAAAATGAGCACTTGGGGTAGCCCTACTGGAAGAGGGCTGGAGAGGAGGCTAATGTTTACTCTAATTAACCCTGTCTGTACTGTGCTGGCAAATTTCATTTAGAATGTAGAAATTCAAAAAGGGTTAAAGGCTTGGAGGCATTGTGTGTAAATGAGAGGAAGCTCAGTCTGACCATCTAGTCTCACTTTCAAAACTGCTCAGAATAGCTTGGGATCTGCACAAAGGTCTTCACCGAAGACATCTAAAAAAAGGTAAGAAATATATTTTTAAAAATAATTTTTCGTCATGTTATGTAAATATAAAAACATAACAAACATAGTGGGATGTGACAGACTGAACCGTCACTGGGGCTGTTGGAGGAGCCTGGGGGCTAGCCTCCTTCCTACTAACTATGGACCTAGGACTATGGAGACCCCCTCGGACCTCTTGGGGTTACAAGGAACTATTATCCCAGGTTTATGTGTGGAGTGGATACGGTGCATATTTCCCCTGGCATTACTTTTAAGTCATCCTATGCCCATTATAGGTACAGGGTGTGAATCCAGCAACACCAAAGGGGTTAACTCTGGGCTGAGACTCCCATTTACCTTGTTAGTCTGTTAGTCAAGTCTATTTGTCTATTGTGTGATTGGGTTAACAATGGGATTAACTTGACACTAGATGTAGCTGAGTGAATTAACATATGATAGACACTCAGGAGACAATCCCATCATATGCGTCTCCTCTCTCCCTGCTCTTTGATAAGGGGCGCCAGGGAGGGGATGGTTTGCTTGCATTGTTTGAGTCTCTGATTGTATTATGTTTTTAGACTTCCAGAACTGCATAAATACTGTGCTGGTTTTCAATAAAGTTAGTTCCTGTTTAGACAACATTGGTGTTGTCTGGGGTAAATCTTTATTTGTGGGGATGAATTGTCTGAGAATGTGATGGTTGAGCGGTTAGGTTGTGGTGGGATAGGCTTCCCTGAAGAGATGAGTCCATTAAGTACCAAAATCAAAAGCCAGTCCAATCAAGAAGTACGCAACAGCAACAAAACACTAACAGGGCAACAAAACAACAGAAAAGGGTACTGTCTGCAGCTCAAAGAGCTGTCTGAAGGACCTTATGCCCAAAGCTGGCATCCACCTGGTAAAATTTGGAAACCATGTGAACAGAAAACCAGGTGGCAGCCTTGAAAATTTGGGGTGCTGAATGGCTCAAGAGGTACTCACAGATCTAGCAGAGTGTGCCCTGACAGGAAAGGGTGGGACCCGATCCATAAGACTATAAGCTTGAATGATGATCTGTCGGAGTCACCCAGAAATGGTGTAACGAGAAGTAAGTTCGCCTCTACGGGGATAAGGAAGTATAAGGAGAAAGTCAGTCTTCATAATGAACTCAGTACCTGCATGATAGAGATGAACTACAATAATACAATGGAGGAAGATCTCCTTCTGATGAACAGGACAATGTCCTGGTTGGGGTGAAATGCCAAACCTACCTTAGGAAGAAAGAAAGGATATTATTGGCCTCAACACCACCTTGTCCCTGTGCAAGACCAGAAAGGGTACTTTACAGGATAGACACCTCACTTCTCAGAGGTGATGACAAGGAAATGAACCTTATGGGTTAGAGTGAAAGGAATTATATCCCTGATAGGTTTTAATCAAAGAATGGAAAGCTAG